CCCCCCCCAGGAGTCTCCACGTGGCCCGTTATGGATGCAGGTAAGGGGGAGGGAGTGGACGGAGGCTCGGGGAGGGTGACAAACGGGGCTCCCAGAAATTCGGGACCTCTAGAAATGGGCCCGTTTCTGGCTTCCAGAGAGCCTCTGGAGCCCAGGGAGGGCAAAAATGCCCCCCACCACCATGGTGCAAGAGGCCGACTAGGCCACACCCACCATGGCCACGCCCACCCAGCAACTGGGCAGAGAACCAGTTGCTAACATTTTTGAAACCCAAATAGGGCTACGCATCTCCTCCTTCCTTGTATTGTTTTGACAGTGTGGGGGGGTTTTTTTTCTCCCCCATCCGGTCTTCTTTTCTAAGAATCCACCCCACCCCCCCAAAAAAAAAGATCTGTCTGATCGGAAAGAAGAATTGCACTTGCTTTTTTTAAAAAAAGATACAGAGACAAGGATTTCCTCCAGCTTTCTTTAACCTTTAAAACAAAATCTCACCGCACGTAACCGCATGGCTGGACTATTTTCAGTGTCTTCTTCTCTACTTTGGCGCTTCCTAAAATGACCATCGAAGATAGATGAATGGGGTTGGAAGGGACCTTGGAGGTCTTCTAGTCCAACCCCTGCTCAAGCAGGAAGTCTGGTGTGCTTCTGTGCCACAAGATTAATGTATGAGCATTCACAACTTCTGAAGTCAACATGTTCCACTGATTAATTGTTCTAATTGTCAGGGAATTTCTCCTTAGTTCTAGGTTGCTTCTCCCCTTGATCAGCTTCTATCCATTTCTTCTTATCCTGCCTTCAGGTGCTTTGGAGAATAGCTTGACTCCCTCTCCTTTGTGGCAGCCCCTGAGATGTTGGAACACTGCTATCGTGTCTCCCCTAGTCCTTTTCATCAAACTAGACACCCCCAGTTCCTGCGATTGTTCTTGGTATGTTTTTAGCCTCCAGTCCCCTAATCACCTTTGTTGGTCTTCTCTGCACTCTTCCTAGAGTCTCAACATCTTTTTTTTACATCGTGGCAACCAAAACTGGTAGTTACTTGCATCTGTTTATTTAGTGACTGTTCAAAGCAAGGTCCTTCAAACTTGGCAAGTTTAAGACTTGTGGACTTCACCTCCCAGAATTCCTGAGCTAACATGACTGGAGGAGGAATTCCGGGAGTTGAAGCCCACAAGTCTTAAAGCTGTCAAGTTTGAAGACCCCTGGTTCAGAGTTCAAAGCACTGATAAAAGTGACTTATGACCAATTCTCGCACTCACAACAGTTGCAGCATCCCCATAGTCAAGGCTACGTTTTGCTTGCAAGGACCCCAGAGTGGACTTGGAAGCCATACTAAGAGGTTGTTGCTTCCTTCACCCCTTGTCTTTCCAAACTCAACCACTTGAACTCTTTTGCAGTTCTTCTGGAAATGTTCAGTGCATAGTAATAGAAAAAATAATCTCCTTCGTCTGCTTTATTTATATGTTCCAACTGTTTGTTTAACGGCTCTTTCAAAACATTGCTTAAACATCACGTTTTGCAAGAAGGTGGGGTGGTTATTCGTCCAACCAAGGAGAGCTTTCTCTGTAAAGAATCCTTCCTATGATTATGTAAGTAAAGGGGTGAATTTCTTTTTCTGTGGGTTTGGTGTGTTTTTTTAAGGAAAAAAAACACGCTTAGAATACCTCTAAGTGTCAAGGCAGAGGTGGCCTTTTTATGTGTTACTGGAGCTTTGTTTGGTGTTATTACTTGCAATAACTTAATAAATTCCGTTCCCCTTCCGTGGACTTTCCCATAGCTCAAATAAATGATGTTTTATCTTTAATTAAACACCTTGAAGAAATTGCACCAATATTATTCTCCAATACGCAAGCTCCCTTCGCCAACCTCCCCATTCCAATTTCTCCCCTACCCCCCCCCCCCCCCCCCAAATTAACAGATCCTATTACAACAGCCAGGATTCATTTTGTAATTATTCTGAAGCTGCTCTTTAGAAAGCCTCCAGTGAAACAGAGTGATACTTCAGTAGAAAAGATAATTAAAAGCAATTATTCAGTTTGTTAGAGGATATAAAAATTAGAACAGTGCATCACTGTCTTTATTTTTTTTAAAGTAATGGTAGTGCAACAGATAGTTTATCACACTATTGCTCTATTTAAAAATTAAAATAAGCAAACGTTACCTTTTTCTCTTAAAGAGAAAGGAACAAAGTGCTTAACAGGCACTTGCCGAGAGTGATCTACGAGATCTGTATTACAGTTGTGTATATTGTGAAAAGTATTTAAAAGGAGTTGAACCCCTCTTTCTGTTTTCCTCAAGGCTTCTTATTTCAAATCTAAAATAAAGCTGTGTTTGCTTTCAGGATTTGCTTGGTTGACATTAATGCAAGTGTTTAAAACAGCCACATGGTTGTTTTCTGGCTAAAAGCAGGAGCTGCTTTAATAGGGGGATTCTCATCATGTCTTATCTGCACACACAACTGCACTCATACAAAGGACCACCAGGTGGCAGCAAAGACACACAGGACTCTAATCCTGTACTCCCACCTGGTGGTCATCAGGATTTTTGCAATCTGTCCAATCTGTCAATTCTGCACAATCACTTTGTAACATATTCTAGGGAATCCCTTGTTCGCAATATTAATGTAAAAGCAAACTTGATTACTAATAAATGACCTTTCAAAATTCCATGACGGGATTCTCTCTTCAGGTTGGCTGGCAATTAAAGAATCTGGTCAATGCATTGCGTGAAGACCCAAACGGCGTGATCTTAACATTGAAGAAGAGACCTCAGAATACCCTCGTTTCTGCTCCGGCACTACTCAAAAATGTCAGGTGGAAACCTCTTGCTCTCCAGGTAAGATGACCTTGGACAGTATCTTTGTTTTAGGAACTCTGAAAATTGCATCACTGACTCTTGTTTTCCGTGTCTCGGGAGTCTCTGTCATTTTCCTTTAAGAAATAATTTAATTTTTCCTTGAGTTTGTTGGTGTATTATTTTTCTCTTATTAACTGAGTATTTAACGTCCATCTTTTCTGTGGTCTTTTTGATAATCAGCAATAGAATTAAAGTCTCCTCTGATACAAATATTTCTTTTTTCCAATCCTGTTATTTTCCCATAAAGATGCTTAAAAACTCTTTTTGATCTCCGTTCGGGGCGTAGATTACCACTAAGAGAATTGGGATGGCATTAATCCAGATCTGCAAAACTAGAGTTCTTCCCTCAGAATCCGACCATATTAAATCTTCTTTCAAATCCTCTTTAACATATACTACAATCCCTTTCTTTTTCCCCATGTCTGCTGGTGTGGTAAATAGCTTCCCTAATTTCGGACATTCTAGGTATTTTTCATCTGTTTTCTTTATATGAGTTTCTTGTAGGCATATTACATCAGCATTTTGTTTGATTAGTTTAGCTATTATCCTTTTCCTTTTTATCGTCGAGTTTAAACCATTTATATTAATTGATAGTAGTTTCTTTTCTTCTTACATTTAATTAATTCTGTTTCACTCTTTGTCTTGTAATGGCTCCGGTCTCTCCTTGTGCCTGAAGATGTGTCCTACTTTCTTCTCTTTCCTGATGTAGATGAGTATTTCCTTGATTTCCTAAAGTTCCATCTCTGTTCTTATGACAGCCTTGATCTTCCTGTTTCCAGTTCCTCCTTACTGCTCTGGTCTTCCGGACTGACCAATCGCTCATAAAATTCCTGGGCCTTTTCCATGGAGTCTATTTTAATTTTCCTTTTGTTCCAAAAAAACTAACATCCCCTCTGGGATTAGCCATTTAAATACGATTCTTTTCTGATTTAGATAAGCTGTTAAGAACTTGTAGTCTCGTCTTTGTTCTCTTACTCTTCTTGGTATTTGTTTGAGAATCAAGACTTCTTTACCTTTATATGTAATTGTTTCATCTCTTCACATCCTATATATGATATCCCGGACACTCCTTCTCGCAAATCGTATATGGACTTCTCTTGGGCATTTGTGGCATAATTAGTGCTAATCCTGTAAACTTCATCAAACTCCCTTAAGATGTCATCTTTATAGGTCATCCTTCTTCCCCTTCCCCTTTGAGGTGATTTGGGTTGAGAAAGTGTGACTAGTTCAAGGCCACCCATGCCTAAAATGGAACTAGAACTCAGTCTCCTGGTTCCTAGCCTCATGCCTTAACCACTAGATCAAACTGACTCTCCATAGATATAAATATAACAGTATATCTTTTGCGTTCCTTCTGATACCAATGATAGATTGCTTACATCTAATGAGAGAAGACTCCCTTTTAATAGTTGTGGTGGCCAGAGGTGGTATTCAGCAGGTTCTGACCAGTTCTGGAGAACCGGTAGCGGAAATTTTGAGTAGCTCGGAGAACCGGCAAATCCCACCTCTGACTGGCCCTGCCCCCATCTATTCTCTGCCTCCCGAGTCCCAGCTGATTGGCTGGGTCTTCTTTTGTTGCCCTGCACAGGAGAATGGAGATGGAAAGCAGGTTAGTGGGGTGGGGAGGGAATGGGGATTTTGTAGTAATCGTCCTCTGGAGTGAGGTGGAAATGAAGATTTTGCAGCATCCTTCCCCTGCCATGCCCACCAAGCCACACCATGCCCAAGCCACACCCACAGAACTGGTAGTAAAAAAAAAATGCATCCTACCACTGGCGCACTCCTACATTTTACTCAAAAGTTAAGACCCCTTGGGTGCAGATGAGCATAGGTCTTGAGCCCCAAATGGCGACAATTAGATTTGAAGGTGGAAGAGCCTTCCTCCCACGCTTAACAGCTGGTACTATCAGCTCTAGCAATGACCTAGAAATTGAGCACAATAGATTTACTGTTAATCGCCCCACTGAGAGAAGAAGGCATAAATCTAATGACTTTCTTTTCATATATCTTCTTTTTTATTACTCGGATATTCCAAATGGAGGAAGAATACGATTACAAGCCTTGCATTTCCTCCCAGCTGCCCTTAGCCAACTGCACCTCATTCAAGCCTCTCTTTCGAGCAAAATCAATACTATCAAACCATATTATTCTTCTTTTCCATCATATCACAGTGGCTTCTCCCTCCCCTTTCCTTCTAGCTATTCTTTTGCAGAAGAAATTTAAAATCCCTCTTGGATTTCCCAGCCTGCTTATTTTTCAGGTTTGGAGGCCAAAAGATTATGAGTTTAAAGGCGAATATTATTTATTTGTCAGGATAAAACAAAACAGAACAATCAAAGATGTCATGAATTGCGGTTGACTGTTGTCTCTGTTAGGTTTCTCCGGCATTCAGAAGGATTTGAAAAAGAGAACTCTCTGTGATTTGATAAAGACAGAATTGTAATGTGAGACCAGGTTTCCCCAACATGGAATTTACTAAGAGCATTAAACACAGCTCCTCTGTCCTTTGTTACTCAACCATGACTTTAGAGAAAGATCACTTAATATTTGCCACCCTTTGCACAATGCTGTAAAAGATACTAGGTGTGTACAGTACAAGGTTCCAACACTCAGCATTGCCTCCAGAACGTATTAACAGATTAACAGGGTTGGAAGGGACCTTGTAGGTCATCTAGTCCAACCCCCACACACACCCAAGCAGGAGGCCCTACAGCATTCCTGACAGAAGGCAGTCCAGCCTCTTCTTGAAAGCTTCCAGTGATGAAGCTCCCGCAACTTCTGAAGGCAACGTCTGTTCCATTGCTTGACTGTTCTCGCTATCAGAAAGTTTATCCTTATTTCCAGATTGAATCTCTCCTTGTTCAGTTTCCATCCATTCTTCCTTGTCTGGCCTTCAGGTGCCTTGGAGAATAACTTGACCCCTTCCTCCTCTCTGTGGCAGCCCCTCAAATACTGGAAGCCTGCTATCCTGTCTCCCCTGGTCCTTCTCTTCCCTAGACTAACCATGTCCAGTTCCTGTAACCGTTCATCTTATGTTTTAGCCTCCAGTCCCCTAATTGTCTTGGTTGCTCTTTCTATTGTCTCAACATCTTTTTTATAGTGTGGCCATCAGGAATTTAGAAGTTGTCGTCTAGTGAAAAGAAGGACTAGGGGTGACATGATAGCAGTGTCCCAATATTTGAGGAGTTGCCACAAAGAAAAGGGAGTCAACCTATTCTCCAAAGCACCAGAAGGCAGGACCAGAAGGCAGAACAATGGATGGTAACTAATCAAGGAGAGAAGCAACCTAGAACTAAGCAGAAATTTCCTGACAGTGAGAACAATTAACTAGCAGAAGGCTTGCCTTCGGAAGTTGTGAATGCTCTGATACTGGAGGTTTTGAAGAAGAGCAGGGGGTTGGACTAGATGACCTCCAAGCTCCCTTCCAACTCTGTTATTCTATGTCTAAGACTGGACAGCCATTTGTCTGGTATGGTATCGGGTCTCCTGCTTGACCAGGGGGCTGGACTAGAAGACCTCAAAGACCCTTCCCAACTCTGTTATTCTGTTAAATTGTGGCTACTCCATCCCTGGGGATTTTTAAGAAGAGATTGGATAACCACGTACGGCATAGGATCTCTTGCTTCAGCAGAGGATTGGATTAGAAAACCTCCAAGGTCCCTTCTAATGCTGTTATTCTGTTTATACCACCCCCACCTCCAAATTATTAGGCAGAGCCTGTAGCTTCAAGCTGGCCACTTAACCGTCATTCTTTATGTGCAAGGAGAAGGTTCTATACTTGGACATCTCTAAGAACAGAATGGTTAGCTTCCAAAAAAAAAAAAAGGGATTGCATTTTCAATTAATTAAATGATGACATTCGTTATTACATTATTCAGTTGCATTTAACACAATGGTGAGAGCCAGCACAGAAACTACATCAGTCAATTTTAAATATTAAATTAAACCAAATCAAATTTGTTGTGGTGTAGCCTATTTTGTCCTGGCTTCCTCTCCTCTCAGAAAACACAAACTCTCGCACACCATTCAGAAGTCAAGGGAGGCCTTTTTCCCTGAAAATAATGTAGACCAGTGGTGGCTAACCTTTAGGGGCTCCTGTGCTGAAAATTGTGTGCGCTCATAAGCTCACACATGCTCGTGTGCCAGCACCCAGAAGGCAACGCACGTGGCTCCACCCCCGTGTCTCCTGCGCCTGCGCGCGTGATTTCCCCCCCCCCCCCCACCGCCACCCCCTTACCTGCTCTGGGCATGCAAGCACCTCCATGCAACCAGACTCCAAATTTTAGACCTAGAAAACCTAGAACTACGCCGCCTTCGGTCCAATCTAAGTGTGGTATATAAAATCATACAATGCAATGTCCTACCTGTCAATAACGAATACTTCACTTCAACCATAATAACACAAGAGCACACAATAGATACAAACTCAAGGTTAATCGCACCAAAGTTGATTGCAGGAAATACGACTTCAGCAACAGAGTGGTCAATGTCTGGAATACTCTACCTGACTCTGTGGTTTCTTCCCTAAACCCCAAAAACTTTAATCTTAGACTTTCTACTATTGACCTCACCCCTTTCCTAAGAGGTCTGTAGGGGGTGTGCATAAGCGCACCAACGTGCCTACCATCCCTGTCCTATTGTTTCTTTTATATTTTATTTTTCTTATATGTATCCATGTATTCATAACTATGTTTTTACTTATACCTATTATCTTGTAAGCAATTGACAAACCAAATAAATAAAAAAATAAAAAATAAAATAAATGCCACCTATGACACACGTACTGTAGGTTCACCATGATAGATGTATACCCTTCTAGCAAGCTTCCAAGAACTGGATGTCTTAGATTCAATGAACTTGCTCCAAATAGTAAGTTAGGAGTACAGTGGGATTTTGCCCAGGTTCCTGTATCCTTCTGACTATTAGTTGGACTAGACCTGGGAAAAATTGTAAAAGGCCATGAAGCAGCTGCTCTGAAT